ATTATTTCTTCCATTCTGCTTGCTTTGGATTTAGTTTGCTCTTTTTTATATTGTTTCTTAAGATGTGGGTTTAGATTATTGATTCGAGGTTTTTCTTCTTTTTAAGATGAATGCTTTTAGCTATATATTTCTTTCTAAGCCTTGCTTTAACTTTGTCTCATAAATTTTGATGTGTTTTCATTTTCATTTACCACAAAATATTTTTTGTCGGTCTTTTGCAATATCTTCTTTGATTCTTTCATTATTTGGAAGTGTGTTATTCCCTATCTATTTGTAAATTTCCAAAATCTCCTTTTATTGTTTATAATTCCATTCCATTATGGCATGAGAATATACTTTATATGATTTCTTAAATTCCTGAAACCAGTGAGTCTCTTATATTTTATTGAGGATCTGTGAGGGGAGCATGCATTTTATAATGCTGCCTTGGGCTTCACTTTCTCTTTGTACCAGGGCCTTAAGGGCTGCCAGAGGTAAGAATTTAGAGTGTTCTCAAGTCTTCCCTGAGCATGGGCATAGCCTTGGGCACGCATACATATGCACAGCCTTTTAGATTCCCAGGAGTATGTTAGAGCTTCCTGATGCCCACTATGGGATTCTCCCTCCCCAGGTTTCCCTTTTAAGTTTTTAGCTTCTTGTTTGCTCAGCTGTTATCACTGTCTCAGGAAGCTGTGATGTTAAATAATTGTTGCTGCTTGTTTTGATAAATATCTAGGTCAAAGGTTATTTGCACTGAGCACATTGAGCCAGAGAAATAAATGTAAGTCCTCTGAATGATGGTGTAAAGGGAACTTCCAAACAGGTCAGTTAATGACAATGCTCTGAGCACTGTCAGGGTAAGGACCTTTGACACTGACTTGCACCCTGACCACCTGTAGGCTCCTGGTTTTTGCCATGATTGAGAACCTGTTGGTTCTGAAGATTGCTGTGGAGTTGAGAAGAAGTTTTTAACAACATGCAGCTGGTTTTCTTGAATAAACATTCTTGGATTGTTACAAGCTTTTGGTTAACTTCTAGAATCTGGGAAGTTGATTGCAAAGATTTCTGTTAATGTTTTTGTTGTTTTTAATGGAGGAGTATATTTTTGGAGATCTTTACTCTGCCACTCCTGCTGATGTCCTAATTTCACAATTTTAAGTTAAATCTATACGTACTTGGAAGGTTAAAGGTTTTTCTCCCACGTTCCAATACATCATTGAGTGTCCACATTTAGGAGGCTGCCAGTGTAATGTGTAATCCCCGCCTTAAGACTCAGTTAAGGTTTGTACATATCTGGAGGTCATATCACCTGGCATCACATGGCTATGACGGCTCCTTCTGTCTTCCAGATTTCCTTGTGGCATCTCCATTCTCTCAGGTAAGTGAGATCCAAACTCTACCCACAAGCCCCACTTTTCTATCACAGCATCTCTCTGACCTATAAGAGTCCCCTTTACCTCCCTCTCTCACAGGAAGTGAGAATGCATATAAACACCAATTGGTGAGTGTTGTCTCTTTTCTTTTGCGTGGCCACCTAGGTTTTCATAATCAAGACCCAACTGATCTATACATCAGATAAGCTGGGTTCTGACTCCAGTTTAGTTCTGTGAAACCTTTTCTACCTATTGTGTCGAAAGCTATCCGTGGGCGGCTGTGTGTGGACTACAACACGCATCGAAGCCTAATGAATATAGAATCTGGTGTCTGGGAACTTTCAGTGGATACTTCCTCTGGTTGACTGCCTAGACACATTGTAAGCCCTATGCAGCTCTGCCTGGTCCCACACAGCACTAGGGATGGGGTGACCTGCTGTAGCTGCACAGCCTCTCTGAGATGCGTGTGACCTGCCAAGATGCCAATCAACCTGTGGACTGCAAGACATCATGAAGCAAGACTCCATGCTTGAAACCTTATCCCTGCTTTTGATGTACCTCTTAAATAATCCATGAGAGCTATTTTATAATTGTCTAGCTCCATCTCTTGTGTAGACTGGACCTATCAGGGACTCTACCTTTTTGAAACTATCTTTCCAACTTTATCTTTTATTCTTCACTAATTATTCTATATTTTAATTTCTTAGGAGGCTTACACCCTCCTTGGCAGGAAGAAAAATCCCCAATGAAGTGCTGGCCGCCTCCCCATACCATTGCACAAATTTATAGAATTTTATTGAATTATCCACTATGGGATGAACTTACAGTTAGTTCAAGGAGATATAAATAAGTAAACTCCATGTAATATACTGTGGTGGAGAACTATATATAAGAATCAATTAAGAAGACATCTGAATTCCTCAGAAAACTTGGAATAGAACTACCATTTGACCCAGTTTACCCACTCCTTGGCATATTCCCAGAGGACTTAAAATCAGCATATTACAGTGACATGGCCCCATCAATGTTTAAAGCAAGTCAATTCACAATAGCTAAGATATGGAACCAATCTAGGTGCCCTTTAACAGATGAATGGATAAGGAAAATGTGGTACACACACACAATGGAATATTAGTCAGCCATAAAGAAGAATGAAATTATGGCATTTGCCAGTAAATGGATATAACTGGAGATTATCATGCTAGCTGAAATAAGCCAGTTTCAAAAAACTAAAGACTGAATGTTCATTCTGATATGCAGATGCTAACTCACAACAGGTGGAGGAGAGTGAAGGTTCACCAGATTGGATGGGGGGGGGTTGGAGGGAAGGGAGAGTGGATGGAAATGGGAAAGTCAGTAGAATGAATAGGACGTAACTTTCCTCTGTTTATATATGAATACACAACCAGAGAAATTCCACATCATGTACAACCACAAAAATGTGAAGTTATACTCCATGTATGTGTGTCAAAATATATTCTAATGCATGTATAACTAAAAAGAACAAGCAAAAACTTTAAAAAAGAAGATACCTGAAAATATGCCTTTCAAAAGCAGGCTTTCTTTGCTAAATACAATAATATGTTGTGAGAACCCTGAGACTTCTGCTGCATACATAAGATGCAGTAAATATGTCTTGACCTTAGAGCATTTATTTCCCCAATTTTGAAGCAGGAGTGACCCCTGTCCTGGTTTCTTTCTAAGATTGAGGTAGACAGTGAGCAGAGAATACACATGAGAAGTGCCTTACAAATTTCAGATATTGTTAAGGCAAAATTACTATAAATAAACAAATAAAATTATATGGACATTCTCATTTTTTATTACCTATGCATCTCAAGTGTCTGTATTGGAACATTGGTTTGGGCAATAAATAATTGACCTCAGCTGATCATTTTGTAGAGAAATTTTTGTGACTTGAATTCTAAAAACTCGGTGAAAGCATTTGTGATTACTGATAATTCATCCTCACACTTAATATTACAGACAGTTTCATGCTTCATAAAAACAATCCTGGAGGGAAAAGAAAAGCAGTTACTTACGCTCTGTTTTTAACTGTCCAAGGATGGAATTTTCTCCTCTGCACATGGTTCTGAAAGTATGCAAAGAAATAATTATGGAGGTTTCAAAACAACCAATTCTGACTGCAGTATGTGTGGGTATAATCCCAATCCAAGTACAAACAGCACAAGTGCTTCTATGAGAAGGTGCCTACATGTTTTAAAGCTAAACACAGGTGAACATCGCTTTGTAATGTAACTAATTGGACAAAGCAGTTTTGAGGTGGATAAATGGAAGTTATAAAATTAAAGTTAGATTTCACAAAGAGAAGCTATTTTTAAAAAGATGAGTTATAAATGAACTTTCCTTCTTCTAAATTTGGTGACAGAAAAGATAAATCCAGCATGCCTCAATAGATAATACTGAATAGTATCACATTGCTTTCCAAGGTGAAAAGTTTGAACCATTGGCAGAGTGATTTAGGAATTCAGCAAACTATTACATTACGTTGTCTCCATAAACTCAACAAAAGCCCTTAAACGTAAAAACAAAACCAGACTTAACTGACTCTGCTTATGATTTTGTTTCTCAAGACTCTGATAACAGGGGATGAATTATACAGACTGAAAAAAAATTCTATGCTCCATCTGCTTGCTCTATGAAAGTAATTAAAAATACAGTTATGCCTGGGAAATGCTGATATTATTAAAGATGATGCCAGCAAATAGAGATGTTTTTGCATAATAAAAGGTTATAGTTTGGGTTCTGAACAAGAGCCAAACATGTATTCCATTCAGCTGGTTCAAACTCAAGAAAACAGTCATAGGAAATAATTACAACTGACAATATTCCAAAAATAATATTAGAATGGCAAATGAAGCAGATGAAATCCAATTAAACATTATGTCAGTGACTTAAATACTTGAATAGCTTTATGTGTCATGCTGTAAATCAGATAACATTAGAAATGGCAAATCTTCAATCCGAGTATATAGACCAATGTAGTTCAAGTTCTCTCATACTGTTAACTAGGCAAAATGACCCCAGGGGAAACAGATCCTTACTTATGACCCTGGGAGATAGATGCAATGGCAGAAAACTGTAGTGCATTCAGATTGTGCGTGCAGAGCAATTTGACCTACACTTTGAGCACTTCTTGGATTTACAAGTCCACTTCTTGGATTACAAAGTGTGGGATCTTATTTGCCCCTTCCAACTCTCTAAAAGATTGAACTAGAAAGGAGAGAAACTAAAGGTGGTTTGAAAAAACAAGAACTATTTAAAGAAGATACGCAGGTTCTAGTCTTTGTTGTGACTTATCACCAGGGTGATCCATCCTGTGTGGGACTCTTGTGTGTCAGGTCCAAGCTCATGCTCAGGAGCCATATTCATATCCAGGCCTGTCCACTTACTCACCTCTTGGCTTCCAATCTCTTTCCCAGTTAAGTGACCCAAGGGGAAGCTTGG